AGGTCCGTGGGGTCCAGGGGGAGACAGGAGGACGGAGGAATCAGAGGTGGGAGGGAGGAGAGACCCAGAGGGGCAGGTGTGAGTGTGGACACCCCCCCAGTGAGGCTGTCAGCCGAGACCACCGCTGGGGGAGGCCTGGCAGAGGGGCAGGGGATGGGGGGGCCGGGGTCCTGTGTGCGGGTTTAGGGGCCCCACTCACTGTGCAGCCTCCAGGGCGAGCATGGCGGTGCCGGGCTGTGTTCACTGCTGGTGGCAGCCGCCACCCCTATTTATACCTTGGCCCGGCCCCCTGGGGGCAGGGGTGCCTGAGCTCAGCCCTCCTGGAAAACCCCCTCAGGGAGGGGGCCAGGGGAGGGGGCCGGATTGCACAACCTCTGGGTCACGTGGTGGGGAGGGCGGGCCCAGGAGCCGGCTGGATTTGGGGATCCCCGCAGTTGGGAGCGGGGGTAACCCTGAGGGGTGGAGGAGAGGAGCTGGACTTGGAGGACCGTAAATGGGGTCCTTGGTCAGTGAAGTGGGGGTCACAAGCAGGGGGGCGTGTCCCTGAGGAAAACCCAGCCCCAATGCGGATGAGGACCCTAAGGTGGAAACATCGTGGGTGTGACACAGAGCGGGGTCCCCTGGGTCGTGGGGAGTGGGAGCCCACGAGCCGGGGCTGCCCCAGGCCTGGAGGAAAGGGGCCAGCACCTGGAGGGCCAGCTGCCGCAGGGAGGGTGCGCTGGGCAGAGCTGTCGGCAGGGGAGTGGGTGCCCAGAGATGCCCACTCAGGCTCCGGGGGGACTGAGGCAGGCCGGGCCTGTGAGGGCTGGCAGCGGGGCGGGAGCCCAGGTGTCCTGCACAGGGGGAGGCGTCCAGTGGGGCACCTGGGGGTCAGGGCCTGACCGTGGACTTTGTCCCCCGCCCCCCCAGACACCAAACACAAAGCACCAGGTAACAAAAGGTCCAAACTTTATTAGTTCTCCACCGGTCCCCGCCGGCAGGGCCCTCCTGGGAAGCCTGAAGAAGTCAGGGGTCACCAGGCCTCGGGGCCAGGGGGCCCGAAGCGCCTCAGAAGCTGCTCCTGGTCCTCCAGGTCCTTGCGCACCTTCTTGCGCATGTAGAAGATGGGGCAGTCCCGGCTGCGGGCGGCAGGCGGGTGGGTCAGGGTCAGGGCCAGGGCGGCTGCCCGGGCT